CACTGGCGACAAAGAAAGAAGCCTCCCATGGGGTGGTTCGAGGACCAGATCCGGAGATGAGCCTCACAAGTGGTGGACACGTCGTGGAGGTCGAGAAAGGGAAGTATGTCCGGACCAATGACATCGTGGTCGCTGAGAACCCGCCCTCGTTGGAGGACATTGTCACCGTTGAAGAACGACCTGAGCCTGCTTGTATCTTGGATGGGGAGATGGTGCCACGCCGGAGGCTGACAGAAAAGACCTCTTTGTCATTTCTCTCTCCACAGGAGCTTCAAGATCGTCTTCGAAGAGGCCAAGATTGGGCGAACGAGGAGTTTGGTCGGTTGGAGGTGGCAAGAATGGGGGACGGTGATCCGTTTGGGGTGGTCTATGACTTGGACCGCGAGAATGAGAAGATTGAGGGTTTGCTGCCAGACCAAGGGCTAGCGTGTCGGAGGTTGGAGGCGGAGATGACGAAGGTGGCGGAGGAAGAGGAGGGTGTGTTCCTGCAGACTCGAACGGTTAGCCTGCAAGAAGTGAGAAAATCTTTGCCCTTGTGGATTCCACCGCTTCGCACGGAGATCGACAACTTCGACAACAACAAGGCCATCAAGAGGATCGATGAGGAACAAGTTCAAGAAATTCTGGCCAGCGCCCATGAAAGAGGGGAAAGAGCTGAGCTAATACCTGGAATGGGTGTTTTCACGAGGAAGGCTGGCGATGGTCGGCGAAGGGCCCGAATTGTTTGCTGCGGAAACTACATGGAACCTCGTGCAGGTGATGAAGTCTATGCTACAGGAGCCGATTCCACGCAGCTACGGGCAATCCTTCGTATCGCGGCACTTCGAAACTGGGAATGCCTTTCTCTGGATGTCAAATCAGCCTTCCTTCTCCTTTCGACCTATGGAGGACTCGAACCTCTGGGCGATCCAGGAGTTTGTCGCGACGGAGGACGGGGCTCGGAGGTGGGGAAAGGTGCTGGGCCACATGATCGTGTATGTGGATGATGTGCTAATGCTGAGACCAAAGAATATCACGGAGGCAGCTTCATCCACTATTCAGAGTCGATGGTCCACTTCTTCTCCAGAATATGCTTCTATTGGAGGGGATTCGATGAGGTTCTTGGGCATCGAGATCAGGCGCTTGGAGGATGGCACCTATCTTCTCCACCAAGAATGTTATGCCCGTGAAGTATTGGAGCGGCATCCTGGTGTTTTGGCTTCTCCCTTCATCAAAGTTCCCGAGGGTGAGGAGGACGAAGAGGCAGCTTCCCTGCCGAAAGTTCGAGAAGCTCAAAAGATCACTGGAGAGCTCCTTTGGCTGTCGGGTAAAACTCGCCCGGATCTCGCATGGGCAGTGATGAAGATGGCCCAAAGCGCCCTCAAGCGTCCAAGGTGGACCGTGGAGTTGGGTAAGGCTCTTCTGGCCTATGTGAAGTCATCGCTGGATTTTGGCCTTCACTATACAAGTCAGGTGCCTGAGGATTCTTGTCCGGATCTCCAACGGGTTAAGCCTCGCCACTCGGGCACCTTGGAAGTTTTGGTGGATGCTTCTTTTTCACCAGGTGATGGTCATAGCATTTCAGGAACCATTGTCCTGTTGGCAGGATGCCCAATTCAGTGGGAGTCGAAGAAGCAGAGCTTGATGGCACTTTCCACTGCGGAGGCTGAGCTGACGGCCATTGTGGATGGACTACAAACTGGCAGGTCGGTGCGGGCTTTGATCGAGCTCCTCAATTCGAAGGTGGACCTGGAGATCCACAATGACAACCGGGCGGCGATCGTTCTGGGGTCGGGATCAGGCGGCGGTTGGAGGACCCGTCACCTGCGAATCAGAGCGAGTTGTCTGACAGAGGTGGTGAAGGTTGGAGAACTCTCACTGAGTCATCGTATGGGGAGTTCTTTGTGGGCCGATGGCCTTACAAAACCTCTTCCTGCTCATCATCTTGGCCGTTTCTGTCGTGGAGTGTGGCTGGGGGGTCCGTCGTTGAGCACCGGGGAGCAGGAGAAGGAAAAGAGCGTGACGGTCCTGGCAAATCCCACGGGCAGTCAAGTCATCAAATCTATGTCCCTCTTGGCTGCAGGAGTTGCTTTGTTGCCAGGAGCTCAAGCGTCTGAGACGTGTGAGAGAAAGGTGACAGAAGAAGATCGCAATGCCTCGTGGGGAGATCAAGGATGGATTCTGCTCCTTGCAGGGCTGGTGTGCGTGCTTCACTTCATCAAGGAGCTGGGTTGGGAGCTGGTGAAACGCCTGATTTCCAAGGGAGAGTCTCTGAAGGTCACGTTGTTGAATGATGAGGCAACGCTTCCGACCAAGGGTTCTCCGGGCGCCGCTGGCTGGGATCTGGCATCGCCGGTGCATTGCTCTCTTCAACCAGGAGAACGTCGTCTGGTACCTCTTGGCTTGGCGGTGGAAATCCCTTCAAACTCCTATGGGAGAATAGCCCCGCGCAGCTCTTTGGCCATTCGGGGAATTGATGTGGCAGGTGGAGTGATTGATGCTGATTACAGAGGGGAGATCAAGATCATCATGGTGAACAACAGCCGCCAGGAGACCTTCACGGTGAATGTGGGGGATCGAATCGGCCAGCTGATCCTAGAGAGGATCTCCAATGTGAAGATCCAATCAACATCCTCCTTATCATCTTCGGTCAGGGGACAGCAGGTTTTGGCAGCTCGGGCATCAGGACTATGACGCCTTCATCGTCTACCAACCTGCCTGAGGAGCTCTATGGCACTGGGCAGCCGGCTGTGAGAAGGGTGACAACAGAGCAGGAAGCGACGCGAGATGCGGACGAAACCCGTGACGAGGGTTTGTCGGTGGGCCCGCATGTATTCTTTGATGGGGTTCTTTTCGCCAAGGCCGAGGAGACGTTGCCCAACTTCCTTCGTCGCTTGAGGCGTGAAGATCTGAAGAATTTCAAGTGGATGCTTCCTGAACCCCTCATCAAAGAGCTTGAGACTCCTACTCGGAGGTCGCCGGTGGCCTTTCAGCTTGAGGCCATCCAGGGCACCCTCAACATCCTCATGTTCAGGCACGAGGACTGGCGGAAGAAGCTCTATGACTCGGAAGTGAATGCACCTCCCTCCAACAACGGCATTTCAGCTGGAGTTGTGACGCTGGGTAGTCTCGAAGATGGTCGCATCTTTGCACGGGTGGACAATCGCCGAGGAAACAGATCCATGAGCTACCTCAAGCAAAATTGGAGGGGTGTCAGTGTTTTCTACTCCTTGTCGAGCTCCAGTGTGGGCGCTTGCTGATCCGAGGCTGACGCGCTCAAGGGTGGCATTTCTGAGAGGGGATTGTGCTTAGGCTTTTGTCATAGATGGCCTCCGACATTGAAAGGGAAATGTCATCATCGGCCTTTCTTGCTGTGATGAAGGTTGCATTTTTGAAGCCTCTTTCCTTGTTTTGCCCCCTCTTTTTGAGGATCCAAGAACTAGCGAAGTTCGAAGGGGCTTGAGTCGCTTTCGGCGATCCGATCTCCTAACGTCCACGATTTCATCGGGAGGGGAGAGCAGTTCGATCGGCCGCTTGATTTTCGTGTGATGCCATGAAACATGGTCAATACTTGCTTGAAGCCCTTTTGTACCAAGAAGAAAAAGGAAGGCACTTCCTTTGATCTAATTATATATACCAGCACCATCAGCACCCTCCAACAGGTCACCACTTGCGACTTATAAGTCTGCAAAAGCCTCCAGAGGAGACCTGTTGGAGGGTGCATATATATATATATAGTATTATATAATATATATTATATGTAAATTACAATGGTACGTGTACATAGGGCCAGTGAAGGTTTTCAGTTTCAGTATTTTTTTGGGGGGTGACAACCTGATCGCGCTTGCGAACGCTTACCCTTCAAACCGAGGATCTCAGTGAAGGAATGCAGCAAAGCTGGATGCACCCAGAAGGACTTGCATGTGACGATGGATGCCAACTGGCGCTGGATTCACACCGAGGCGCCCTCGCGCCGCGACTCGCCGCGATGGCGGTGGATGGTGGACCTGTATGGGAACAACCATGCCCTATAGGGATCCAGTCGTACCGTACCTCAGATACGGTGATTTGTTCGACAGTTTGGTACGGCTGGATCCCGTCTTGGCGGATTTCGGGCAGGTCTGATGCCTCGACCCAGAGAGTTTGACAATTCTAAGGCTTGACCCTTGAAGTTCACCCCTAAAAAACACATCCTCAAGCATGCTTCTTGAGAAGTGCATGGATCTATTGGGCAGTATATATGTGGGACGGGTCTTCCAGGAGAAAGTCTTCCTTTTGGTCCATCAGTCAGTCTGGTCGTGCCCCCTTAGCTTGGCGCCAATCCCAACGGAGCTCGCTACCTTAACCAGTGCTTTCGAAGACTCAATACCACCGTGTGCTGGTTCCGTGTCTTGTGGCAGTTTTTTGTGGGTAGGCAATATCAACATGTAGTGCCCTTTGGGTCCACTCTGGTTCGTTTTGTCTAGTGGAGCTGCAAGCAGCGCAAGCACCTGACCCGTCTGGGGCTGACCTCTCCTGTTTGGCTGACCGCTCAGCTGTGTCGAGCTCCAGGAGGGCTACCAGAACTGCTACAGTGGTGACTCCTGGGACACCACTGTTTGCACCGACCCAGAGGTTTGTGCCAAGAGCTGTGCCGTGGAGGGTCTCCTGCTGAAATCACGGGAGCGGCATTTGGAGGCAAAAGCTGAAATGGCTAAGCTCGACATATATAAGGTTGCAGATCACACAGGCCTTCAAGGAATCAAAGGTTGTGTTTTGCACCTGGGTACAACCTGGTTAGTGTAGTCTCAGTCTCAAATGTGATAGGCAGCCTTTTAAGGTTCAATGCTGTCTCTGAGTTTTAGTTGGCGTCCACAAGGAGAGGGTGACCTAAGTAATTAGAGTGACTCAAGTGGTAACTGGACTAGCTAACTGCTGGCTCTTCGGCACATGATAAAACAACGTAGCCTCTGAATGTTCTCCGTTCAATGTCACAAAACCCTTTCATTTTCGTATCTTCAGATTTCCTTTTATGTTCGCCCATGTCGGACAATGTGCGTTTACAAGCGTGGCAGCTTCAGAACTTGCGGCAAGCTTTTGTTCAGAATGCTACATCGCATCCTTTGGCACATGTTGAGCGATCAATACAGAAATTACAGGAGCTGATTGAAGTTTTGCGGCATGATTTGAACTTGGATGCCTTCAAGCGTCGAAAGTTGAGAAGCTCGCTGACTGTGCGACAATTTCAGTCTCGTTGCGCAAAGCTGCGGCACAAGTGCAAGAAGCTGCAAGCTGAAGTAGATTTGATTGAAGCTAGCCGGGCGAGTGCAGCATGTTTGGTGCATATAGGGCTGGACTGGCTCCACCCAATATCCCTCCGCAGTCCCTCAGTGAGTTGTGCAACGACTTTGTGGTTGAGGAAGGTAAGATTCTCTCCAGAACGTGCATCACCCATGCAAGGGATGCCTTCACAGAGAAAATCGAAAGAGGTAATGTTGCAGAGTTTACCTTTGAGGCTTCAACAGATTTGCAGAGTCAATCAGGAAGAACCACCGGCCATTGTTGTTTCTCATTTGCATGATGAAGCCTCCCTGAAGCTTCGCTCTTTTGACTTGGAGCTGGTGGGATGGACTCTGAGAGCGAGGTGCTCCAAGGTCCAGAACGAGGTTGTGCACGTGAAGTTTCCCAGTGGAAAGACTGTCGAGTATTTCGCGGAATTACAACCTTTGCTGAAAAAAGATTCTGATACTATAGCGCAGGCTATAGAAAACACTGCCAAGAACGTGATACTGTTATTGCTTGACCAGCCTGCGACAAAGCCTTCGCAACCTCTGAGATTGATTTACATCTTGACTGGGGATGGGATAAATACAAGTTTGACCTCAGCCAAGAAGATATTCTTGTTTTTTGCGCAAAATGCTTCCTTCCTTCCACGGCGCACGAGTTGATTTTGAACTGTGGTGTGTCCGGTGTGCATCGCACGTGGCTAACCTGGTGGTCTTAGTCGCATTAGTTGGCGGGAAACTCGTCTTTGTGCGCTTTCTTGTTGCGCAACTTTCGTGTGCTGGCCAACCCAAACGATTCCAACTTGCATGAGGCCAATCTACAGCACAAATCTTGGGGTCTGGAGTCTGCAGTGGGAGCATTCCTGTTTACAAGGAGCATTTGGTGCTTTCTTGCAGGAGAGACCGCAACCGACGCGGCTTTGGCACTTTGCAGCATGTGCTCGAGCATTCCTCCGCATGCGGATGATTGGGATTACTAAAGAGGTGCTGCAAGTTACAACAACCAGACCTTCCGCTGAGAACGCACATGGGTGCTCCAGTGAGCAGCGAGCAGCGTTGAGCAGTCAGCAGGTCTGATTCTTTAGTTCTTGTACCTTTAAGCTAAATTTTTAGAGGCTTTTTTGCGGTGAGTTTGTGACGCTGATTCTTTAGAGAGCAGCAGGTCAGCAGGTTGGCGCAGAGTGGGATCCCTAAAGGATAAAGATGTCCATTAAATGCATCCAGGTTGTCGAACTGTCACGCGTCGCGCGCCGCGCGTAAACCCCCAGCGAAACCTCCAAAGTGTGCTTTGATTTTTGTAAGCAATGCAAAAGGTATAAATTGCGATCCCGGCGCTCCACCCATGAAGAGGTCCGCGCCAAGGCCACGAAGCAAAAGGGTTTCTACAATGACAAGTTGGGCACAGTTGTCAATGTGCTCGCCAATGACAACTTCAAAGTGCTCTTGGAAGAGGGCGACAAGAAGGGTGAAAAGCGAAAGTGTGAAGTCCGCTTTCTCACCACAATTGTTCCCGACCCAGCTGCTGAGTTGCCTGAAGGCAGTGAGCTTGACGCGAAGCTCTCGGACTGTTGGGAGATGCAGATCACATTTCCGGCACAGACAGGTACAACCAGCTTTTCCAGCCAAAAAAGCAATGTGACATGACTGGTCGCTGATGCAGACTGATGGAATTCTCATGCAGGGTCAACACTCCCAGGTGCCTCAGTGTGAAGGCCATCTCTGGGAAGCACACCAAGCATGAGCTTCAGGAAGGGGTCCATGAGCACGCTAATAGGCACTAACGCACACTAATCCGCTAATACACATTGTGCTGCTTCCTTTAAGGCCAGTAGCAATTGCTACCCAATATAAAGCATAGTATACTAGCAATATTAGCCATGGTATATATATATATATTATAGTATATACAGCTACTGTATATTATTTTTACTTCTACACTATATATAGTTGGGGTCCATGGGGGGACCCACAAGGGAGACAGCGATTAGAAACCCGTCAAGATTCAGAAACCCTTTAACCAGCAGATTTTTACTTGCCGGTTTAGATATATCAATAGTTCTCAAGATCAACACCGTTTGGTTCCTGGCTGATTCTCTTAACGCTACTAAGCGATGGTCAGCGAAAGTCAGCGATAAGCGTGGGTCAGCGATGAGCGATGGTCTTTCGTTTGGTTCAAGATCTGTTGTTTCGGGTTCTTTTGGAACCCGCCACCTCGACTTGCAGGCATATATCCAACACCCCATTTGCCAGTTCAACGATGCTTCTTGAAATCATCCTAGCCTGTTCACAACCTGTTTGGTATAATTCGGAAACAGGTCATCATGTTGGGGCGATGGATGTATCTACGCAACCGTGATGTTTCCTTATTTGGAGTGTATCCAACTCCACCGGCAGTCGACGTTTTGATCGATGTCTTGTCGACGAAGATCGGTGGAACTCATGGCTGTAAGGCTTGGATACATCCAAGTACGAGACCACCTACGGCGTGACGCAGATTGATGGTGGAGTCAAACTGGGCTTCGTCACCGGGTCCAACGTGGGCTCCAGGCTGGTGTCAAGACCTCGAGAGGTGCATGAAACATGTGGGAAGGTGATTCTCTTGAGGGTGTTGATTCACCGCCCTAAGGCTGTTGGTCCTAAGTGGTGACTTGTTAGGCACTCTTTTGTTCGCTTTTTGGGTGTTGGTTTGCCACCCTAAGTGGTGACCTATGGTGACCTTATGTCCCTAAAATTGTTCACTACCTCACTGGTTGTGGATGATGATCAGGTCTCACCACCTGCAAAAAAATACTTTGCTTCGAGTGATCCCCACCATGACATTTCAATCATTTGTCTTGATGCCATAGTGAGGAGCATGTTGCCATGGTCGTGAGTATTGTAGTTATCGATTTTGCTTGTGGGTCCTCGGGTTGTGTGCTGTGGTTGTGTGTTGTGGTTGCGTGCTGTGTTGTGGTTGCGCGCTGTGTTGTGGTTGTGGTTGTGTTTGCGATTGTGTGTTTGTGGCTGTGTGTTTGTGATTGTGGTTGTGGTACTGGTAGTGGTTGTGATATTGTATGTTTGTATATAGTTGCGTTTGCGGTTCTGTTGTGTCTTTGTGATTGTGTGTTTGTTGTTGTGATTGCGGTTGTGGTTGTGTCTTTGTGAA